GTCTGAGAAGATGCTGAGGTCTCATTGCCTTGGAAACCTAACACAGCTTTCTGTTTCAATAAAGTTGAACTGTCTGGAAAGTGTGCGGCGACATGACTATGAAGCATTGAGGCACCCTGGCACCTCCTGCATTTTTCAAGACTGCGCCCTCCTGTGTGTTTACTATCGTGGAGGATGTGCGATGACGTGTCGAACTTGACAAGCTCATAAAAACAATATGGCACCAGATGAGACACCTGTATGTATGTATTATAAAAAATATTTTCAATTTTCAATTTTATTTTTATTATTATGTTCAATGCACTAAACAAAAGATGTGTTTATCTAAAATACGTTTTGTTATTTTAACCTTTAATCCACCTTTTTATTACGCTTTTTTATATTATTCTATACCTATTTTCTTTTATACTTTTATATTCTAATTTGTTTTTAGCTCACTGACATAGTCAGATGCAGCTTGTAGAATCGCATGACGTCGCCGTTGCGTCCGTCGTCCGTTCGTCCGTGCGTCCGTCAACAGTTGGGCACAAATCTTACCGCTCGAGCGTACGGTCACGATATTCGGACGGGGGGTAATGCGAAAACGAGTTGGATGTCGAAGCTGGGGTCAAAGGTCAAAGGTCAAGAGGTGTAAAATAAGGGGGAACATTCACTCCTTAACTTAAGGTATAGGGAGGAAATGCAGAATTGGCGCACAAATCTAAACGCTCGACCTAGGCTCGTGATAGTCCGTGTATAGCATCATGGTAGGAAAAAGCCATCACTGTGCCGAAATTGGAGGTCACAGGTCAAAGTCAATGGCACAGGCAGATTTTAGACATTTTCTGAGGACATGGTCTGACGGAGCGATTGAAAAACTTTTTGTTTCAGCGGTGACCTAGCATTTTTATGGCATTATTGAAAGGACATGAAATCTACTTTCTGCTGACATGCGAAGAGTAAGTGTCACGATGATACTTCTTTTGACCCTCAGAGAGAGGGTTAAACATGGATTTGTTGACTGTCTGTTAGAAAGAATTTGACTGCCGGTTTGCTAGTAGAATCTATACATGCCTGGATGTATGAGGCTACAATGTCACAGTGAATTTTCAAAAGCTAAATTTGGTTAAAGAAGGTTTATGCTCCTAAATCGTATAATTTATATGGCATTCTGTACTGTCAGTATGTTACATGTAACGTATGCCACTGCAGTGCTACTGCCAGTGCATGTGTTGTGGTACTGTGGAGTTTTTGCCTTAATGGTTACAGTGGCAGGCTCTCTATTGCGCAGCCTGTAGGCTTGCGTAGGTAAATGGATGAGTGCTACTATTCTGTCTTGCAGATAGTTGTTGCTACTACGTATGATGGGAGCTTCCATCTTAATCTGAAGACACTTAAACGTACGCGCCATCTCGTGGCTAACTTTCATAAGATCCCAACGAACATTCTTTTGAGAAGGTTCCTGATACCATCCCTGTGCATTCCACTGTTTCGCGTGTATGTGAACACATTTGAATAACAGGGTTATACTAGAATCCCAACCACTACCACCACCAGAGTCACCGCAGTAGACGTTAGATGAGCGCTGTCGCTCTGCGGCACTTGTTATATTACACCTTTTCAAGAGTAGACTTTACATTACAAAATGTTTATAGATAGTGATAGCAGTATTTAATGTGAACGCTAGAAATGAACTGACAAGCACATTGTTTACTATGTCACAAAGCCATGTGATTTCTTATTAAATGTAGAGAAGTAAATGATAACTAATTGTTCTGGCTCATTTATTCAACTTTTAGCCCTTGACAGATGCATCATTGCAGAGAGCCGTTGACCGACTGTCCAATGAGCCTGGAAGTTTCAACTGGTGGATGTCAAAAATACGGTAACTGCCATCAGCACATATGTCCAGACTTAGTTGTTAGTGATGAAGCACTGTCATATATACTTGTCTCGATGAATGCTCTAAAAATCCTTAAGTAATGTATTATAATAGCTTTTGTTAACTTACATCATGTGGAATCGGCTGAGAACAATAATTTCTTAAGAGAGTTCTTGAGTTGTTTGAAATTTCTGGTCATTAATTCATTAGCACTAAGCGGCATTAAATCACCCCCCGCCCCCCAGTTATTATATTGAATCAAAGGTGTCGTTTCTCAACTTTTCCTGTGCTACGTATTCATTTGAGATAATGGAACAAATTCCAGTAAACTGTCAGCAACCCAATGATGATGGCTAACTGACAAATTCCTGCAAGGCACTAAGGGGATTCCAAAAAGACCCTCTAGCAAGAGCACGAGCTGCAATTATTGGTGTTATAGTTTTGCAGTGCATGCAGGTGAACAGTAATGGACACCCTCACTATTAATCCATTATCTGTTTACAGTACAAGCAAGCTTCCAGTGGCTACAGATACTTACCAGAGGGCACAAATCTGCTGCACTGCATGGAAGATAATTCAGTACTATACCGTCCTGCATACATGGGCATGATAGGAAGAGTTCCACATCGAGACATATACGAGCTATTGAGAGTAATTGTGTGGGTCATGATCGTTTATACAAATCTTCAGAAACCAAAGAAGAGAAGTGTGCAACCATTTTAATATTTGCCCAAAAAAACTAGATAGAGTTTTTTGTCTCATAGTTTGTATGCCTGTATACTAAGGTTCAAGGGTCATTGTCGTATCAGGTACTCACAAGATATGTACCCGAGGTACATATATGTATACACAAAGTGTACCAGACTTGTACCACCAGAAGTGTAACCCTAACCCTAACACTAACCCTAACGAAGCCTAACCCTAAACCCTAACTCTAACCCTAACCCTAAACATACCTCATATAAACATAATACTAAACAACCTAAAACTACCTCGGGTACATATCTGTAGTACCTGATACGACAATGACCCCTTGAACCTTAGTATACAGGATACAAACTATGAGACAAAAACTCATACTAGATTTGTTTGGGGGCAAATATTAAAATGGTTGCACACATTCTATTGTTCTGAAAGATTTGTATAAAACCATCATGGCCCCAAACAATTACCTCTCAATAGCTCGTATATGTCTCGATGTGGAACTCTTCCTATCATGCCCATGTAATGCAGGACGTATAGTACTGAATTATCTTCCATGCAGTGCAGTAGATTTTGTGCCCTCTGGTAAGTATCTGTAGCCACTGGAAGCTTGCTTGTACTGTAACAAGATAATGGATTAATAGTGAGGTGTCCCATTACTGTTCACCTGCATGCACTGCAAAACTATAACACCAATAATTGCAGCTCGTGCTCTTGCTAGGGTGTCTTTAGGAATCCCCTTAGTGCTTGCAGGAATTTGTCAGTTAGCATCATCATTGGGTTGCTGACAGTTTACTGGAATTTGTTCCATTTATCTCAAATGAATACGTAGCACAGGAAAGTAGAGAAACGACACCATTTGATTCAATATAATAACTGGGGGGGTGATTTAATGCCGCTTAGTGCTAATGAATTAATGACCAGAAATTTCAAAACAATCAAGAAATCTCTTAAGGAAATTATTGTTCTCAGCGATTCCACATGATGTAAGTTAACAAAAGCTATTATAATACATTACTTAGGATTTTTAGAGCATTCATCAAGACAAGTATATATGACAGTGCTTCATCACTAACAACTAAGTCTGGACATAATGTGCTGATGGCAGGTACCGTATTTTTGACATGCACCAGTTGATAACTTCCAGCTCATTGGACAGTCGGTCAACGCCTCTCTGCAATGATGCATCTGTCAAGGGCTAAAAGTTGGTAAATGAGCAAAACAATTAGTTATCATTTACTTCTCTACATTTAATAAGAAAATCACATGGCTTTGTGACATAGTAAACAATGTGCTTGTCAGTTCATTTCTAGCTTCACATTAAATACTGCTATCACTATCTAAAACATTTTGTAATGTAAAGTCTACTCTTGAAAATGTGTAATAAAAACAAATAAGAATATAAAAGTAAAAGAAAATAAGGTATACGAATAATATATAAAAGCGTAATAAAAAAGGTGTATTAAAGGTTAAAATAACAAAACGTATTTTAGATAAACAATCTTTTTTGTTTAGTCATTGAACATAATAATGAAATAAAATTGAAAATTGAAAATATTTTTGATAACTACATACATACAGGTGTCTCATCTGGTGGCCATATTGTTTTTATGAGCTTGGTCAAGTTCGACACGTCATCGCACATCCTCCACGATAGTAACACCACCAGAGGGCGCAGTCTTGAAAATGCAGGAGGTGCCAGGAGGTGCCTCAATGCTTCATAGTCATGTCGCAGCACACTTTCCAGACAGTTCAACTTTATTGAAAACAGAAAGCTGGTGATAGGTTTCCAAGGCAATGAACCTCAGCATCTTCTCAGAACTAATAAAGCACAACAATAAATTTTTGTTTCTAATTTTAAACCTAAACATGACAAATGATGGTTGGCATAAAAGAACTACTTACATTTACAACAAAATATTGCTCTCACAAGAAACACTCACGATCAACCGACCATCTCTAACAAGTTATCAAATGAACTGTCATCCACAAATGATAATGGTTAATATAGCACAGCACTTGCTTTTAAATTTAAACTCACCAATACATCCTCTAAGAAATGCGTCTTTCCTCGCAGACAGGACAGAAAGATTTCCCGCCACGACACCAGCGACGCAGATGCAACGTTAGGGTTATCTTCACCGCTGCTTCGCCGTGTGAGCTCCGTCGTGGTTCGCGCACGCTGCGGTGGACACCGTCCGAATCGCTCGTCCTCCAACTTCAGGTATTCATCGACGAGGAATGAGTCATCAACGCGCAGCAGCGCCGCGCACACATCATCGGCGATTGGCCGGTGCGCGAGCGAGCTCTCGCCCACGCGCTCCGTCGCATCGAGCACCTCCTCGAATAACTCACACACCGGCTCCGAACAGCTCCTAGCAACCTCCGCGTTCAGCAACGACAACAACTTGCAGACGAACGAGAAAGATGGGTTCACAGCGGCGCTGTCGCCCGAGATGCCAGTCTGCGCGCGATTGATGAGCGCCAGATGGCGCCGCATGCACCGCAGATAAACGTGCTGCAGCGCTGCGTTGTGCACCACCTGAGTTTGTTGAGCTGTCAGTCGACATATAATTTGATGGCCTAAGATGATATCACGGTCGATAATCCTCTCGATCAAACTCAGAGATTCCTCGGACAATCTAGAAGGTGATGCATTTGTAGCAGCAGAAACTCCATGAAATGAGGAGTAGCAGTCATAAATTTCCTGAACACAGAGAAAAACTGTGTGAGAGAAGAATGGCCATGTGTCAACGGTCGATGTAACACTACTAATCGACATACCAACATTACAGGTACAAGATGACACTTGTTTCCTGCTTGATGCTACATTTTCAGTCAATACGATAACTACAAGAGTCAGAGCCAAGGTCACACCATCAACATACAAAAGCCAAACTAACACATGGTTCACGAGTAACCTTATTATAAGGTATACTTAATTAGGGGGACCCTTTACGGATACCTCCACTCCTGAAAGCTACGACGTTAATTGGAAAATTTCCTCATTAATATAACAGAATACTGTGAATACGACTGACCTTGATGATTGCAGCAGATGGCTCACACTCATGTGTCTGCTCCAGCATTAGCCTGAACTGCACTGCATCCCCATATTGAGTCATCTTACGAAAAAACAATTCTCATATGGCATTGGGTTTTCACTGTTCTTCAAACATATAAAGTAATGATAAAATAGGATAATATTTTGATGAAGCTATATTACTAGGCTATAGTTATGTGAGGCTTGCCAGTCAGGTCCACATCATGGTATTATGTCTGACATGGCATGTTACTAAAACGAACTCCTACATCTGTATGAACACCAACAAAAGACAAATCAGGTTCAACTTAACGCAAGGATTTCGAAAAGTCTTCCTGACCATCCTCGTATTTTTCCGACCACTACAGTACTTACTGGTATTGCCTGCATAACAGTAAGTGTATAAAGTAAGAATAACATGTCTTTTCACAAAAATATACAACGATTGAAATATGTTTGTTTACATTGTGTTGACGTGGCTACTAGACAATGCCACTTATTTGTTGCGAGACCCTATCCTTGCACTTTGACATGGTAACTTGAATTAGGCAGTAGAGATGTTGTACATACCAGTCTAGAGCTACTACGTTAAATAATGAGACACACTAAATTGTCTGGTTGTTGGTTGCAATTGCCATTGCAAAAGCAAATTATCACTATATGAAAGAATGTGGCTGCATTATCTGCTATTTTATATACCATAACAGTATAAACTCATGGTAAGTTTTATACTGAAGTAATCAGTAACATGTTCGCTATAATTAGGTAAAACTATATTTCGCTATATTTTTCTTGATTTTTCACTTATTTATAAAATAATTCCTTTAATTCATTTTTCAATTTATCGGTGCTCACTGTGACAAGTACAAAATTGCATAGATGCATACCTCGAACCCAGTTTTCTTTAGATTCATCAAGCACAGCCATGATAGGTGGTGTGGTGATGGTACTGATCTTGATCCAATGCTGTAAAATAGCACCTACTAATTAAATTGTGTATAAAAAAGCAAAAATTAATAGCCATTGCCTGATCTTGAATGGATGTTATCAGACGATTGAAGAATATTGTGGCAGTCCGTTTTTATTATGCGACGTTGGTAATGGTGTTATAAGTATTTGAGTTGCACACCAATTACATGATGATAAAGTGTCATAGTAACTTATTATTAATTTTATAATATTTAATATTATTTTTTGCTAGTTTTCATTATTTATCATTACAGTCTGTATTTTGCACCATGGTTATCCTGTAACTGTAAGTACCCAAGCCCCAAGCACACATGAGCATTGGTTTTACAATTGTTTGGTGCTTTACAGCAAGTCATGTGTGTAATAGAATGCACTTCTTGCTTGGATATCCAGTATCCTGGGTCAATTGTCTGTTAAATTGAACATGCCCACAGTAAAATTAATAATTACAAATGAAAACAATTTGCACAAACCTTATTCCAAGAGAGTTGCCTTCATTAGGTGAAATCGTGCTTCTGCCTGTTGTACTGCTATATGCTTGAGGAATCTTTACACAGTGGTCACACAAGAGTGTTTGAAGGTGAACACTCTTACCGTGATGTTTTCTCTGCTTACATAGGTGCTCATGGCAAGCAGAGGCAATCTCCCACTGACCTAGGTAGAGGTTGCGTACCAATTCCACAAATAACTGTCTTTGAGATTCCTCTTCTTCTTGTCCAAAATGGTGAACAAGACAACAGGTTTGGTCTCTAGCAGTGACACTCAGCTTCATTCTTCTTGGTTCAAACTAACTGAATTATAAAAGCGAGTGAATAATGAAAATCAAATATACACTAATATTCTTAGACAATCAAATTAAACAGTTGAGCATAATTTAGTATCCATATATTTACTCCAGGATTATCACATCATCACATCTTCCTGGTGACCATGTCCCATAACATATATAAATTCCAAACACCTCTCGGCTCGCCTTAATCTCGGCACTGCAAAGTGGAGCAAATGGGCCCTATATTTTAATGAAGAGCTTTGGATTAGGTTAGAATCAGAGTTAGACTATGATTAGGTTAAGGAATAAGGTTAGGTTAGAGGATTTGAGTTAGAGTTAGGGATCAAGTCATGATCTTGGTGGTGTCTGTAACATGAGTACAGTATGCTAAAAGTCACTTACATTACACTGAATATTATTGTGTATTCTACACTAGATCTGTCTACACTACTTCTGCATCGGCGCACCCTGTTTGGGCCCTATACTTCGTTCGTCACGATACTAGTTCTAAAAATGGTCACGCATTGCAAGATCACACTAACACTGTATTATTCACATTATTACATTTATTACATTTACATTTATTACATTTACATTTATTACATTTATTACATAGGTATAGCAACACCCTGAAGAAGACCCCTGTCGATTTTAAATGCCGTACCCCCACATTTGCGAAAATGATGGCCGGGGTGCCAAACTATCGCAGATAATGTCTATGTCCCCCTGACCTCTGTTTGACCTGGCTCGTTTAGCTATTTCTGACTAAATGTTCTAAAGTCTTTCCTTAAAGCCTAATAGGCGATCGCGTTTGAGAGCCGCTTCACACTACAGCGCTAACGCCATTTGTGTCGCGCATTTTACTGCGCTTTATCCTGGGGACGGAATACTCCCACCATCCCCGACACCGTCTTTGGAAAAAAAGCACAGCTAAAAGAGTGATTGGTGGATTAGGCTAAGCGCATGCGCAGTGTTAAGACTGTTCCACGGTGTATTGCAAGGCTCTTGCTGTGGCATCGCTTGCCGCTGCGCTGCGGCTTCAGCTGCACGCTAGCGGAAGATAGTACGTGGCGTAACATCTGTATTACGGTAACAATGTAGGCCTTACGGCTAGCTCTGATTCTAGAATGGAACGTGGAATCCATCGTATACGAATGCACGGAACGGGACGCTCGTGATAATGAAGTAGGCTGTGTTAGGGGGCCACACTATGGGGAAATCGCGGACGTAACCACGGCCTACAGATATAAACATTGGAAAGCAGAAGCAACTACGACGCATTTACGTATTATTGGTCAAACGAATACCCTGTGTCTAAAATTGAAGAACGATGTGGGTTTCCGCGTTCATTAGCAAGACGCACGGTTATTTACTTGTGCCGCGATCCGCGGGAGAATACCCCAGAGAATGCGTCTACTAATCGAGCTTCCGTCATTTACGACTGCCATCACTAGGCAGAACAATTACCGCAGACAAACAATTGCTCTGCAACAACACTCGTAGCAGCATGTGCGTCACCCAACGCACTTCGAGGTAGTATATTGCATTGCAAACGAAATTAGCGTTGCGCGCCAGATTGCATGATTTAACGGATTTCTAATTTGACATTTCTGTTGTAGTGTCAGAGGGTTTGGATCTACGTCGGTCGGTGTCCTGGTCGTTCTGGTACGAATAAGCAGCACTCAGTTGGCTCCGCAGCGAGTCCTTATATATGGTGGCAGCCGTGGCCGTTGCCTGGCTTGCCATGAGATCTGGTCGAAGCCTGTAGTGAGTCCAGTAGAATGGCTTCGAGCTCGTAGTTGCCGGTAGACACCGTTACCATTCTCCCTCCTTTGAAGGCAGAGTCCCGGGAGTGTCTGTAAGGCCAATCACTATCACAATGCTACGATGCACTACGTACACTTGCAGACATAGCATTGGTTATGTGGCTGCCGCTACCGTTGTGCTCATAGCGCAAGCACAATCGCTGCGCATAACTGGCAGGATATTTTTGTCTCTCCCCTGCGAAGTTATGCGCATTCACCTCGGACGCTATTTACACTGGGACCGATGCGATCCGTTTTGCTTCGGCCTTTTTCCGCTTGTACAGCGGTTCGAAAGCGCGTGGTAACTCTCTCCTCCCCCCCTAACCGGAGGTCAAAATACGAACACAAACTTACGGCAGAAAAATTTCAGGCAACGTAACGACGATAATATACCTTTCTACCCAATGCCTTGCCGGCTGGAGGAGCGCCCCAGTGTCCATGACGTATCACCAACGGGGGTACCCGACTCAGCCCCAGCGGGAAAAGACCATTCAACTCCCCGCGGGAAGTCCCAACCAAACTCGCCGGACGAACTGACTCCTCTAGACCTAGCGTCGCGCTTACGCACTCTCGATCCTGCACAGTAGCTCTGTCAGAAGTTGATGTTGTTGTTGTTGTTGTAATGCCTGTTGGCTGCATGAGCCCCACTATGGGCCCTGCATCTCTGGTGATAAGAGGCAGCCTGCCCCCCCTAGCCTGCTCCGTCATCCGCTCGGCGCGATTCCTTTCACCTCCCTCTCTTAGGAGGCATTATAGCTCGTATAAATCCGTACTCAGCATAGAACGGCTGATGCAACGCCACTTGCTCTCCGCAAAATCGAGTCACAACCAAAAGTTGGCTTACCTGCACCGTGACGTTTATGTACTGATGGCTGTTCAAATGAACACAAAACAAAAAAAAAGAATTTAACCCCTGCCCGTTTCCATATCAACAAAATTCTATAGGGGCAGAGACCCCCAAAAATGCGCAACCATGCAAGCAATCAATACCCCCTGAAATGCATGTCTGTAACAGCGGCTCTACGCGTAATAATAACATGCTCAAATACCCAAAATCAGCGAAATACACGACTCATAATACTAGGTGGATATATGTTTCCATGCCATCGGAATGTTCGCGTGAGTCAGTGTACGTCACGCACGAACTGCGCGAAGCTAACCTAACCCTAACCCTAACCCTACCCTAACCTAACACCTAACCCTAACCGCCTAACACTAATACTAAGCACTACACTAACAGCAAATAAGTTAAATGGATAAAGATAGAAACCAACTAGAAAAATAAAAATAATAAACAGATGGGATTCGAACGCCACTCAACCTCAAGAAGAAACGTCCCGGCGCCATACACGCGGCTGCGCTATTTTGGTTTGGCTCGAATGATGTGTTATGGATGTTGCCCTATATGCATACATGGATGGGCGTGGGCGTGATTGGTATGGGGTGCTAGCTCACTTGAAGCCGTCACACTGAGCGTCAGCACTGACGTCACGCGAACATTCGATTGGCATGGAAACATATACTCCACCATAATGGTGTACTACAGGGGGTGTGGGAACCTGCCTGCACTGCGCCAGCCCTACTGAACAAGCTATCGTAGACTATCGCTCTATCTCACGTTAGTAGCAGTTGAAAGCTAATTCGCC